AATTGGATTATTTTTACTTGCCTCATTGTGCACATGCTTTAGAGTTTCTCTGTGGTGCGTGCTTAGGAGAGGAATTGTTTATGCGCATCTTTCGTTTTACTACATCTTGACCGATAGCTTCCTTAAGTTGGGAGGGGGGCACTTTTTAGTCCACCACAGTGCATGAGAGTGGAGGTGAGAAAGAAAGAATAAGAAGGGGCACAATGTGGGGAATGATGGGAAAACTGAGTCTAAAGAAAACCAGAAGTATATAAATAAGATAAAAAGAATCTCCTGCGGAAAAAAGAAGGCTGTCAACCATAGCTCTTCGTTTTTCCTTCTTTTAGATCAAGAATGATTTTTTACTGAGCTTTAACCAGATTTCTCTTCTAAATATGCTGAAAAATTTGCCTTATCACACTGCTTATATGCTTCTGAATCTGCTGAATGATCCTTGCTTAACTCAGATGCCACATAAGAACAAGCGAATGAATTCTTTATTTTTATTGGGGCAGGTGAAATTTGAATAATGCGTTGTGAAGAGAGGTAATCACTTCAGCCCTGCTATTTTAAAAAAAGCCATAATAACATTTGTGTGTTACATACTTTTATCTGGGAATGTAATTTAAGTTGAACTTTAACTTGGGTCTTCCAAAATGTGAAAAAATTCTAATTATGTAGCTACACCTCTGTTTCTTCTGGTCATGGGGACACTATGCACACTAAAACAACACACTGTTTATATTGATTTATTAACTATCTCCTAACCATATCATTGGAAACCCTGGTGGCATAGTGGTTAAGAGTTTGACTGCTAACCAAAAGGTTGGCAGTTCGAATCTACCACGCGCTCCTTGGAAACCTGTGGGGCAGTTCTACTCTGTCGTATAGAGTCACTAGGAGTCAGAATCAACTTGATGGCAATGAGTTTGTTTTTTTTTTTTTTTTTGTTTTAACCATATCATTGGAGCCTTGGTGGCACAGTGGTTAAGAGCTTGGCTGCTAACCAAAAAGGTCTGCAGTTTAAACCCACCAGCCTCTCCTTGGAAACTCTATGGGGCAGTTCTACTCTGTCCTATAGCGTCACTAGGAGTCGGAATCGACTCGATGGCAACAAGTTTGGTTTGGGTTTTGGAACCATATCATTAGGAGTCCCTGGGTGGCACAAATGGTTAAGCATTCAGCTACTAACTGAAAGGTTGGTGGTTCAAACTCACCCAGAGGCTCCTTGGAAGATAGGCCTGGTGTTCTGCTTCTAAAAGGTCACAGCCTTGGAAACTTATGCAGTTCTACTTTGCACACATGGGGTCCCCATGAATTGGAATCAACTTGATGGCAACTGCCTTAATTTTGTCTTTCCTTGGGGCTGTTAGCAGGAAATAAAGTTTTCTACCAGGTTCTTTCTTTGCTTTTTTTAAACTCTTGTTCACTCTCTTAAGAAATAGTACTTGAAAAAATGTAATAATCCAGAAGCTTGCAACAGGGAGGGGGAGGAAAGAGAAGAGAGTCAGCAGTGAATTTCAAAGTGTTGTCACCTGCACTCTTCACAAAGCTGGGCCATAGGCGGGTTCTGGTCAGCACTAATCAGAAGAGGCTTACGTTTTGTTTGGCACAAATGACTTGGTGATGGCGCATGTGGTGCCTCTGTAATTAGGGACTTTTTT